CCTGTGGGAGCCGCTTGTGGCAGCTCAGGTCTGGGCCCCCCTGGCCCAGAGCCAGCAGCCCGGTGCAGACAACACTGCACGGAGGGTCCGGGAACGGACCGAGCCTCGGTGTTGCACGAGGTGGCCCAGGCCTCCAACCTTGAGCAGAAGACAAAGTCCTCAGGAGCACGTGACGGTGCTTGGGGCTCCAAGTGGGTGAGCGGCCCAGGAGGAGTCAAAGGCCCTGGAGGCTCCTGCAAGCAAGGAGCAACATGCCTAAGGGACCAAGGACAATTCACTCTGGACCCCGAAGTCATGAGTTGCTGGGGAAAAGGATTCCCACAGGGGAGGGGAAATTCCTCCAGGTTAGTAAGGGGCTCCTAGAGGGGAGGTCCCAGCAATAGAGGGCCCCTCTGAGTTTATAGGCCTCATTGGGGTTTGTGGAAGACCCAAGGGGCATTAGGATTTTCCCCTCCCACTAGTCACTGGAGTGCAGCCAAGGCCTTAGGAACAGCCTGGGCTTTGGAGACTTTTAAAGAGTTAAATTTATTTTTGATGTTTATGTGCCTTATATTTTGTAAATTTATTGTTTTTTAGAACTTAGAGTGTATTGTCTATGTTGGGGCTCTGCTGGGATCCTTCCCTATTGCTTAGCTGTGTTCACCTGCAACGTATTTGAAGTCCCAGTGGTGGTAAACTATCATAGATATATATATTCATAGATATATATAGGTATATAGAGAATAAGATTTATAGTCACATATTATATGTAAATATCTATATTTATATTTAACTTTTGAAGGCTCCCTGTAAATATTAATACATTTATATATAGTTAAGCATTCCCTGACTCTATAGGGAATAGAGGGAACTGGTTTGCATTTGCAGATCCCTCTCACAGCACTCCTGCCTAGCTACCAATCCCTTCTATTTGGAGAGGGGAGCACATACTTGGGTGCACCCAGGTTACACAGTGAAAGGAAAGGGGAGAAAGAAGCAGTTGTTGGTGAAACGGTTCGGGTGGCTGGCTAAATTTAACAGCTAGGTAGAAGCCTTCCAAGTTTGTAATGTATTGGGGTAAAAGAAAAACCATTACCTCTGCCAGAAGGATGAGATGAGTGATGATGGCTTATACATCACCTTGCCAGTTAATGTCAGCACCAAGATTTTCCCACAGAATACCAACTTGAACGTTATCATACAGCTGGCTAAATCTTTGGATTTCCTGGGAAACTGCAAAGTAGGATTAACAGAAATGCAGTACTTGCACAGCTGGAACAATATTAACGAAGACTCCTCTTTTGAAATCATTTCTAGGGATAAGAAGTGGAAGTACCTCCTGCATTAGGGGTATTATCCAACCATTACAGATTTGCTGGATCAAATCAATGATTTTATTATCATCCCCTGTGCCCCATCCCAGTTAGTTATGATCTACAATCCCATGGGTAGAAAAGTGAGGTGAGCTAGTTTGTATTTTGGGGTTTCCACTGGGAGGCTGCTGTTAAAAAAAAAACAGACAAAACCCCTCTTCCCATCTGGCATTACTGGAGGATTCAATTTGCTGTATCTTTGCATGGACACTGCGGAACATCAGCTTGTCAGGGGTTTTTCAGTTCCCTTATTATGCTGTGTCCCCATCTGCAGAAGCAACGATGTTTGTCACCATCACTTATGACAAGCTGCATTATGTCCCTGTGAACCAGCATCACATTGACAATTGGCATTGAAATAAAGATGGATCAGAACAAACACATCTCATTTCGCTTTGGTAAGGTGATTGTTAAGCTTTACCTATGCCCCTAGAAAACTTTGAGATTTAAAAATAAGTAAAATCATGATGGTGATGGTAAAAAACTATGGGGATGCTACCTTGTATGAAAACTCTTATGCGTGTTTCCTTTTATGGTATAATGAAATACTGTTTGAGATTGACATGGTTTTTTGGGTAAATGTGATATCTTTTAGTAGACCAGCTAAATAGTTGGAAAAAATGTTCTTTGCAAGCTTTCGGACACAAACACCCTTCTTTAGGCATAGGGAGAGTCGGCTGGTGACTGTGTGCTCCCATGGGTCGAATAGAAGTTTAAACTAATATGCAAAATGCAGGTCTGTGAAAATGCAAATGCATGGTAGGGAAGATCAGAGGGGATGTGAGACAATAGGTAAGAGACAGGTAAGTCGGGGGGAGAGGGGGAAGCGGGGAATGTTGAGCTGATGATAGAATGTAGCTAGTAAAATGTAGAGAGGTTACCTGGGGTTACTGGATTGCACACAAGTTATAATGTGCCATAGTTTTTCTTGTCGTTCATATGGAAATGATTTGATGGTGGTTTTGAGTTTTAAAGTGAAAAGGGGAGTAGGATCTTCCTCTAGTTTTTGTAGTAGGTGGTGTCAGAGAGTTGTCTGTTGGCTTTTTTATGTAGTTTTCACAGTTAAGGATAGCTATAGTTCCTCCTTTATCTGCTGGTTTTATTACTATTTGGTGGTTGGATCTTAGAGATTCTATGGCCCTTCTTTCTGAGAGGGAGAGGTTGTTATGGTGGTGTTTGTTGATTATTTCATTGTTCATTCTTTCTCTGAAGCAGTCAATATAGCAGTCAAGGTTTGAATTTCATCCACTGTGAAGTATCCAATCTGATGTTTTCTTGGGTTTTTTTGGTGTTTTATCTTTTCCTCAATGTTGTCATAAGATGAAGCATTGTTGGATGTGGATTCATTTTGGTTGTTGAAATAGTCCTTGAGATGGAGCATCGGAAAAAAATATTCTAGTTCTCCACATTGTAGTATATTATTAGGGTTATAATTTATTAGGGTAATAATATACTTCCTCCCCACACCTACCTGTTGCACCTTTTGTGTCTCATCCCCTCTGATCTTCCCTACCACACATTTTGCATGACAGGCAAGTAAAGGAGTTGAGGGTCCCCTAGAGTTGGAGCTGGGACAGGGATCTCATGGCCAACAGGGGACGTCATGGCAGCCCTTGAGCATGCCCTTGTCACAGGCTGCAACTGAGGTATTTAAACATGTTAGTTGAACTAAGCCAAGTATATACAGAACTGTACTACACTATAATTAAGTGCTATGAACTGCTGCATGTTAACTACACTGGAATGCTTGCATAAACAAGTTAATTCACCTGCATAAATGTTTGCAAGATCATGCTCTATTAGTAGCATTAGAGCAAAAATATTTACAATCTCTCTTTTAATTAACACTGTATACTATAAAGACTGTCAAATCCCCTATTTTTAAAAAATATTCTCACTGGTATCTCTTGCAAATGTTGATTTGAATATATTTGCATTATGTGTTTTAATGTTTTTCATACCACAGAATTAGTAAGGAATGTGAACTTTTTAGGCTGAAGAACAATGCTAGTACAAAAACTAGTTATGAACAAGTTTGGATCAGAAATTAGAATATTTATTACTGTCAGAGGAATGAAGTTTTGGAATGGTCATCTAAACAAGATATTTGGGACAAAGAACCTGAATAGCTTTAATACCATACTCAGTAAGTTTATGGGAGGAATAGTATGATAAAATAGAAAGCTCTTGGTTTAGTAGTCAGCATGTGCGATATGTGGACTTACATTGGTATTTGGAACACAGAGGTAACTTGCAGTGTGGTAGGCATCTGTCAGTCCCATACTTCAGAACTTCTGCAAGTTACCTGCAGGGGCCAAGAAGGAAATCTTTTCCCCACATGAATTCTTACTGGATTCTGGGGTTTGGGGGTTTTTTTCCACTTTCCTCTGAAGCATTGGACAGTGACGACAAGTAAAACTGGGGGTTTGGATTAGGTGCACTGGTGTTTCTGCTGCTACTTACAGATACTTACTGATTACCTTTGTGTATACTACAGAAACACATGTAAACCAGCACAAAAATATTTTTTGAAATCAAATTAATTAATATTTTAGATGTTCACTTTTTAGAATATTATTTGATATTTTTCTGGTTCTGAGATGGCAAAACCCCTTCCTGAAAGGAGTACTTCCGGGGGCAAGGGGGGGGCGGCAGCGCAGGGCACCTGTCAAGGGGCAGAGCTACCCATGCAGCCCTCAACAGCTTGTCAAAACTCGGCAAACAGCTCTCTACCTGAAATAATTGCTTGCCCCTGGCCTACAGCAAATGGCTGCTTGCAAGTGGCTGCAGATACACAAAACTTACATAGGTGTAACTTACACTGATATATTTTAACCTTGCATTCCTGAAGTAATTCAGCACCAGATTCAAGTAAGTTATACTGGGATGGGGGTTTACATCATGTGTCTGCTCCATGTTTATACTGGTTTAAAGATGAGATACACTATGTAAATAAGCCATGTGTCCAAACTCTTTAACTGTTGTCCACCTAGGTACCACTTTAGGCATGCAAGTAACCCATGTATATGAGATTGTTATTTGAAATGAATCCAGTATGCAATGGGGCCATGTCTATACCCTATGAGCTCTAAAGGTTGCTGTAGATGGTTTCAACTGCAGATAAAGTCCTTATACCCTGAGCAGCACAGGCCACAAGTATATGCAGGATGAACCTAGCCCTGAGGGGCACTGCTACTAAAAAGAATCCAATCTCACATAAACAGGGCTCATTCATTCATACTTACAGTGGAGTCTGTGTGTAGACCAAGGGAAGAATTCTGTTTACTTTTGGGCACCTAAATGGTAATTTCCCAACTGCATAAGTAGTGTTGACTCTTGTGCACAGGTTGCAATTCCATTACCCCTTCCTTGTAGATTTGTAGGGGTGTGTGCCCAAAACCTTTCAACTAAGAACAGTTTTATAGGGTAAGTAAACATATTTTACATATTTCAATTTATAATCATGATATTCACTTCTTGGAAACATTTTGAATAAAGAAAAGTTGCAAAAGGAACTAGATGAATTTTTTTCAGGTGAAAGACCTTATACATTTTTTTTTAATTTTAAAGGTATTCATTGTGATTTGTTAATTTAGTAACCTTAATTCATTTCTTATTTTTCATGTTTAGGACTTCAGTCATAAGGCCACTCTTTTGAGAGATGGCAGAATCCAGACCAGTGAAAACAGAATTCATGGAAATCCTGTTCAGTGGGTCAAAGCACTACTAGGAAATGATATTTCTGTGAGCTGGAAATATGCATGGAATAAGGTAAGTCCATTGTTATCCCTAAAAACATCTGTTAGGAGCTTTGGAATTCTTTCCTCTAAAGATCCTCATCTTAGCAGATTGTCACTCTAGGATCTATGCATCTAGCTTTGCAATCAGTTGGAAACTCCTGTAATGTAAAGGTTCTAAACCATAAGGTACCAGACATCTGAGAAGTCCCCTTAAGCACCTTTGCAGTATATGTCCTAGAAATTCCTCAACAACTTAATTAGTCTTTTACCCTCAGCATTCTTTTCAGCTTTTCCTTGTATTTTTAAAAGTGCATTGTACTTCTGCTGTCTATAAGAGTTGGCATTTTAACTTCTCTCAGCACTTTGGGTGCAGCTGATATCTTCATGGCTGCCTCAGTCTATTTTTTTGCTCTTCGTTGGCATCAGGGCATTCATATTTCATGCCTGTTTGCTCCTCTTAAAAGGGTTGTACATTGCAGAGCAGACCTATAGTGATTCTTTAATTAATGGTGTAAGGAAATGGTTAGCTAAATAGGTGTTAAAAAATAAAATGTTTTAATCTGACAACACATATCTTTATCCCTTCAGTTGCCCAGTTTTTATTCTCTTGACTATTCATTGAACTCATTTAATAATAATTGTTATAATATTTGGGATTAAAATGTTATAGAATGTGGTTCTGCTTTAAAAATATTTTTCTTTCCTTTTTATTTATGTTGTACATTTTCTTTGTCTTAACGTAACTGAAATGCAGATTTCAATAGAGAGTTTATATTTTGGTACATTTTTTTAACAGTTATTTGTTCAGTTTATTTTGTGAGGGAGGTTACAGCAGAGCTGATGTTGACAAGTATGCCCTTTGCACTTTATTCAGTGGTAGTTTCAGTGTGTCCTGAATCTACACTTGCCCCCTAAACACTGACTCTCTCACTTTCCCACACCTTATTGTTGTTCCTCACATACTTTTACAACTTCTGGACGGTGCTAATAAAGAAGAGCAGGAGACAAGTTGCTTGGATTCTGAGAAACTTGGCAACACCTCAGTAGCTAAGTATTTCCACAGAGAAAGAAGACAAAATAATGACTCTGCTTGAAGTTGCAACCTGTCCCAAATTTCCTGCTTATGAGCTGATTTTATTTGAGATCTGAACTTGGGTCCCCCATGTAGTACAAATCCAGTTAAGCTGGCATTCAAATGAGACATGCTCAACTGCAGATGGGAAAAATAATAATATAATGTATCTAAGGTTTACATGAGTGTATCTGTACAAAACTGGGTGCAAATATGCACTTGAAGGAAGAAACAACATATACAAATGAGGCCCATACATATTAGTTATGAAAGACACCTGATGTCTCTTATGACAAAAAATACAAAGTAAAAGAAAAGAACCAGTTATTCATATAGAGTTGTTTGTACACAGGTTGCATACCTTGGGACAGAGCTGTCAAAAATTCTGGTTGAAGAAGCATCTGTTCCTAACAAACCAGAAGTAACATCACAACTAAAAGAGCCTTCTGGTATGTACAGACTTAAACATAGTTTCCACTTTGGTTGGAAGTAGCAGAAAGTGGTTTTTAATGTGCTGAAATTTCCACAGTTTATTCACCCCCTTCCTGGTTTGTTTCAGGAATTATATTCATTACAGATAGTAGGCTTGAAAAAAATATTTAGAGATGCTGCTTTCTATCCTGGCCCATGGCAATGTGGTAGAGAGAATATTTTTGAATGTGTTGGATGCTAGATAATTTTATCTTAAATGTATTTAGTATATAGTAGAAGCAGTGATCTCAATAATCAATGTAGCAGTTGTTTGTTGTGCTCTATGCTCAGGTATACAAGCTTGGAATGTAGTTGTATGTGCATATTAAAACATGCTTTTCAGGAAAAAGAAATAAACCTATTTGGTAAATACTCTTGTGCCCAACAGAATAACTAGTGTTTCTTTACTGTCTAAAAATGAATAAGAACAAGAACTAAAACCAAGTTTATTAATTGAATTAGGTAGCACTAGGCAACATTTTCAAAGGCACTTACGTGACTTAGGAGCTTAAGTTTCATTTTCAAACTTGGGCACATGTAGGAACCTAAATTCCATCATCTCTCAATGAAACTTGAGTCCACACAGAAACAGGGAGACTTAAGTTCAGTTTCCTTTGCCTAAAGGGATTCAAACCTAGGTCTTCCATCTCTCAAGAGAGTCCTCTAATCACCAGGCTGCTGTAAGGCATGATATCTATGCCTCATTTTTAAAGCTGTTTATAATTCACAATTCACTGGGCTTGTGACAGGAAGTACAAATGAGCCCGAGTATCCACCAAATAAGTTTGTTTTGCTTGAAAAACGTGTTAATATGTCCATGTGATTACATTCTCAGTGGCTGCTTCTACACAGGATGCTGACTGTGCAGTCGTTTAATACCTGTATAAAAAAGTACTAAATGACTGTGTAGTAACTGGAGTTACTGTGCAGTAGCACCACCAAAAGGCTTTTTCATGATGCTGACTGTGCAGTAGTCAGATGACCCCAGCCAGGTGTTTGTTCAGTCTCCTCTTAAAGAGACCCAAGGTAGGGGAGAGCACCACCTCCCTTGGAAGCCCATTCCAGATTCTGGTCACCCTTACTGTAAAGTCAAAAACTAAGGCACCTATACTACTTCAGTGCCTCCAGGGTTAGGCAGAAGTTGAGCAGTTTGAAGATTGCAATTTGTGCAAAATCCACAAGTCCCATGGTAGGTGCCTGAGGCACTTGTACACGTAATGAAAATTGCTGGGTTTTGTGGTTTAATTGTATCATGCTATACACATGCAGGGGTTTTACATGATTTAAAAGAGTTTGTTACATAGCAGACTAAACCACATCCACATGTAGTTTAGTTTGCAACATAGCTATTTGTAACACTGCAGCCTTTTCCCAGCTTGGCCTGCCTCTCCCCACCTCTCCCCACCCCACTGCAGGAGAGGTGGGCTGAAGGCAGAAGTGGCGAGGGGCCCAATCCTTTTTTTTTTTTCCTCAGAGCTTGCCTGCATCTCTTGCAGCTGAGAGGTGAGCTGTCAGCAGTCTGAGCAGCCCCTGAGCTGTGGCAAGCCCCAGTCCATCCTTCCACAGCAGCGATGCACCCCGGGGCCGCCCAGATGGGCTCCTAGTGGGCAGGTGCTGCCCCCAGCTCGGGCTTGAGAAAGAGTTAGATTGGGCTGGGTGCTGCCTCCAATCTAGGGCAGCACCTGCCCACTAGTAGCCTGCTCGGCAGCCCTAGGGGGTGCTACTGCCACGGAGGGAAGGACCAAGGCCCCCCACAGCTCACTGGAAGCTCACCTCCTGGCTTCGGGAGACGTGGGCAGAGTACACAGAAAAAAAAAGAAAAGGATCAGGCCCCTCACTGCTTTTTTTTTTGCCAGTGGAGCCTGCCTGCACGAGCTGCTGCTGGACCATGCAGCCCCTGAGCTTTTTTGTGGGGAGGGGACGGGGGGGTGGGCTTGGTCCTTCCTTCCACAGGGGCAGCACCCCTCTGGGTTACCTGGGAGGGGTGCTAGCTGCGCGAATGCTGCCCCAGCTCACAGGCAGCACCCTCTGGATCCAGCTTTTCCCTGAGCCCATGCACAGGAAGCCTGCTCCCCAGGCTTCCAGGGTACAGACCTCGAGGAAGAGCTGGATCTGGCAGGTCCTGCATGTGAGCCGGGGCAGCACCTGCACAGCTAGCACCCCACCCAGGAAGTTCTGAGGGGTGCTGATACTGTGGAGGGAAGGACCAGGCCTCCGCAGCTCAGGGGCTGTGTGGCCTGGCGGCAGCTTGTGTAGGCAGTCTTTGCCAGAAAAAAGAAAAAAAAGCAGCATGGAGCCTGATCCTTTTTTTTTTTTCCTTCTGCGAAGCCTACCTGCCTCTCCCCTGGAGGGAGACGTACTGCTGGCAGGCCCTGAGCTGCGGGGGCCCCCAGTCCTTCCTTTCACAATGGCAGTGCCCCTTGGGGCCACCCAGGTGGGCTGCTAGCAGGCGGGTGCTGACCCAGCTCAGAGGTAGCACCCAGCCTGATCCACCTGCTCACTAGCAGCCCACCTGGGCAGTGCCGGGGGCACCACTGCTGCAGAAAGTAGGACTGGGACCCCTGCAGCTCAGGCATCACTCAGCCCTTACACCAGCTGCAGGAGACGTGGGTAGGTTCCGTGGGGAAAAAAAGAAGGATCGAGCCCCTTGCCCTAACAGTTATGGAAGCCCCTAAATTGAAACAATGGGTTTTTAATTGTTGCAATTAAAAAAACACCATTTTAATTTAGGGGACAAAACTCCCGTCATGTGTACAAGTGACCTATATCTCTCCTTTAGATCTAGCCCTTTGTCCCCTTTAGGGCCATAGTATTCAACTATTTTCATTAATAAGCTTTGACACAATTTATATTTAAATATTCAAAATGCAAAAAAGGATTGCTCTTATTTCTTGACAATGCTTCTGCAGAGCTTTCTTTTACCAGCTGGTGTTTTGTTAGCTGTTTCTTCCTGCCCATTAGAACCAGATATGGAGTACTGAGAAAAGAATCTTCTGCACTTGCTCTTGGAACTATAATCCTCTGGTTAGCCGCAAACCACAAGCTCTCAGATGAAACCTCTACGCTTTTCCAAAACATGCCTTAGTAGGTGGGCTTCCAGGCAAAGGAGCTGAATCCAGTACTTTAGAACACACAAAAACAGAGATGCTTTTTGTAATCACTTTTCTTTTGTTTCCTTCATGGGGGGTTACAAATCAATTTTTTAAGGTTTAATTTGATTTAGGTAACATATCTTTGGTGGCTCAGCTCCTGGTGTACTAGGTTTAGTCACAATTTTTGAAGTTTGAAAACTGAACATTAAACCATTAAAATGAGTGTTGCATTCAATTAAGTGAAGTACTCAAAAAGTGAAGTATTACAAACATTTATATATAGCAATATGTAAGTACATTTTTCCATAGTGTAAGAAAAATAAACCAGAAACTATTGGGCAAAGGCAATGGTAATGCAATACCTTCCCTAAGAAAGTTGAATTCCTAACTCAAGCATTTTAATTTGACTTAACCAGTCAAGGACACATCTTTCCTTTACTTAGTGCAGACATGGTCCAGGTGTTTTCATGTGTGTCACTTCATAGGTATAATGGCTTCCAAGACCTTGATCCTGAGAAATATGCAGGTGGACCTTTGTACCTGTGTGGTCTCCTTGAAGCCTGAGGGGCTGGCTCTTTACAATGCTGTTCTAAGTATAGAATCAGGCCTATAAGTGGTATTATTGATCTACCGGCAGCCCAGTTCTCTAGTCCTTACCAGAACTAAATGGCTTTTAGGGAGTAGGCTCACTTTATTGGGACTTCACAGATGAGCAAGAACTACTCAACCTAAGTAGTGGATGTAGCCTCTGTTCTCATTTGTGGCAGATGACAGAACAAGAAGAAATGGTTTCAAGTTGCAGCAAGGGAAGTTTAGGTTAGATATTAAGAAAATGTTTCTAATTAGGAGGGAAGTAAAGCATGGGAACAGGTTACCCAGAGAGGTTGTAGAGTCTCCATCTTTGAAGGTTTTAAAGACTTGACTTGGTAATGTCCTGACTGGAATAATATAGTTAGGGATGATCCTGCTTTGAGCAGGGCGTTGGACTAGATGACCTCCTGAGGTCCCTTCCAACCCTACATTTTTATGATTCTACGAATCAGATTCTGTTTCTGCTGTCATGCTGGTGTAACTTTGCTGTCACCACTTATGTCAGCATGAAATTGGTCAGATCTGAATTAGGTTCTAAGCCTTAAAATGGTAAAGAAAAATTCCAGGCTAGCTGTTTGCAGGAATGCAAACTGAAATTCAGTTTTGTATCTGAGAATGTATTATATTCATCAGACTGAAGAGCTGCATAAAGGCTTAATATTCACCAGCAAACAGGTGCCGGGGAGCAAACAAACAATATTTGGTGTTAGGGAAGTCAGAGCTGATGCCTATGTCAGAAAAGGAAACAAATTTGTCATTTGTATATTCCAGAATGGCTTGAAAGAAAATGAGATTATAATAATACATGTAGTATGCATGTAAGCATAGTACGTAGGCTACCACTGCAAGAGGAGGGTCTGCAGAAGAGGGCATGCCTAATGTGGTGCTTGTGCCCTGGAGATCCTCAGATGCTGGAAGAGACTCTGGGACCATTAGCTGATTTATGTGGATTAGAGCAGCCCTCACAGACTTTTATTTTGTGACAGGCCTTAGAACTTGTGTGTGTGTGTGTGTGGGGCGGGGGGTGGCGTTCAAAACAGTATGTTGCTCTGAATTGCCACAGCTGGGTGTGGGTCTGGCTCAGAATTTTTATCTCTATGCCAGTTCAGATCTGTGATATGAGGTGAACCATTGGCTTTGGTAGTGTTGCATAAATCTAAGTGAAAGCAGTGTTTTGCCACTATATGTAATCCTGTGTATTTATGTTTATTTTGAGCCAAATAACAAAGCTCTCATATAATTTATACCAGTGATTTTCAGCCAGGGTGCCATGCCATATTAGCACTGTTAGGTGT